CTGCTGCTGCTGCTGCTGCTGCTGCTGCTGCTGCTGCTTGGGATTGTAGGGGGGGACCAGCCGCACCTCGTGGCCCTGCGGGTCCCGCAGCAGCTGCTCCACAAGAGGTCCTGCTGCGAGCAGCTTTTGCTGCAGCGCAGCAGCAAGGAGGCCGCAGGGCTTCCACTCTGCTGCTGCTGCTGCTTCTGCTGCTGCTGCTGCTGCTGCTGCAGGGGGCCACAGGTCTCTTATGTTCACTGCCGCGTCAAGCATGTTCGTGTCTTTGAAGCCTGTTGTTGCATTTAAATCTCCCAGCAGCAGCACTGGCTTTCCGCGCAGCAGCCTGCAGCAACAAACCCTAAACCCTAAACCCTAAACCCTAAACCCTAAACCCTGAACCGTAGCTCTCTGCTCCAGTTCTTCCCCTCAAACCGACCTTGAGGTGAAACCCCACACCAAACCCTCAAGCCTTTAGCTGCAGTCCCTAAACCCTAAACCCTCACTACCTGCCCGCAGGCCGCAAACCCTAAATCGTGGTTTGGGGCGGACCGTTGCTGCAGCAGCAGCGCGCGCAGCGCATGCAAAAAGTGCATTTTGTAAACAAGTCTTTCCCACAACATTCCGCTGGCAGGGCAGTAAACATTAGCAGCAACAAAACCCTCATGTTCAGTTATTAGGGCCCTGCCTTCCAGGTCTAGGTACGCGTGGGGGGCCCCCCCAGGGGCCCCCCCAGCAGCAGCAGCAGCAGCAGCAGCAGCAGCAGCAGCGGCGGCAGCGGGGCTGCTGCTGCAGCGAAAGCCGCGGCCACCCAGTGTCGCCGGCAGAGGCCGCCCTAGCAGTGCAGCTAAGTCAACTGCCGGTTCTGCTGCTGCTGCTCCTGCTGCTGCTCCTGCTGCTGCTGCTGCTGGCCCTGCTGCTGCTGCTGCTGCTGCTGCTGCTGAGTCTTCAAGAGATATGAACCGACTAAACGGCTGGGAGTCCGCCCGTATTGTGCAGCCCTGACGGACAATTGTTGTGACGCCGCTGTAGCCTGCGGCAGCAGCAGCAGCAGCAGCAGCAGCAGCAGCAGCGGGGCTGTGTCAGAATCGGCAAAGCGGGCAGCAGCAGCAGCAACCAAAGCAGCAGCAACATCAGCAACAGCAGCAGCTACGCCTCTTTGCCACCCCCGCGCAAAAAACCCGCGGCAGCAGCAGCAGCCCAGCAGCTGCAGCCTCAGCAGCAGCAACCGCAAGAGCAGCAGCAGCAACCGCAGCAGCAGCAGCAGCAGCAGCAGCAGCAGCAAATCACCCATGAGCCCCCTGCGGGCCTCTGGAGAGCAGCAACTCCAAAAAGTGTCCCAACCCTTTAGTGTTGCTCCTGTGCCCCTGGGGTTGGCGCGGACTGTCTCAGCTCCCGTCTTAGCCTCCTGCAGCAGCAGCAGCAGCAGCAGCAGCAGCAGAAGCAGCAGCAGGGGTGAGGCGGGGCGGCAAGAGCAGCAGCAGCAGCAGCAGTGTTGGTACCCGGAGCAGCAGCAGCGACTGAAGAAGCTCCAGTAGTGGCAGGTGAAGCAGCAGCAGCAATAAACGCAGCAACAAGAGCAGCAGCTGCTGCTGCAGCAGTACGACTTCTAGCAACAGTTGCAGCAGCAGCAACAGCAGCAGCAACAACAGCAGCAGCAACAACAGCAGCAACAGTGTCGCGTCTAGTGCCAGCAATAGCAGCAACAAGGGAAGCAGCAGCAGCAACAGCAGAAACAGTACGTCTCCATAAACAGCAAGAGCACCAGCAGCAGCAGCAGCAGCAGCAGCAGCAGCAGCAGCAGCAGCAGCAGCAGCACGTGGAGTCCCGCTGCGCGGAGCCTCCCCTCTTTCCCAGCAGATTACCTAGCCACCACTTGCTGTCTTGAACATTTTAATTCATTTAAATTCCTATTTATTTATTTATTTATTTATTATTTATTTATTTATTTATTTATTTATTTATTTATTTATTTATTTATTTATTTATTTATTATTTATTTATTTATTTATTTATTTATTTATTTATTTATTTATTTATTTATTTATTTATTTAAGCTGCTGCTCACCTGCAGACACACCAAGTCGCAGTGCATGCGCTGCAGAAAGGCTTCTATAGAGCCCCAGTCTTTGCTGACAGCAGCAGCAGCAGATCTCCAGCCCGCCACATTCCAAGTCATTACTCCCCTCAGCTGCTGCTGCTGCTGCTGCTGCTGCAGCTGCTGCTGCTGCTGCTGCTGCGGCGGCGGCTGTGCATGCTGCTGCTGCTGCTGCGGCTGCTGCACGTTTTGCTGCCCCTGCTGCTGCTGCATGCGCAGCTGCAGCTCCTGCTGCTGGGGCTGCTCCATAACTCGCTGGTGCTGCTGCTGCTGCTTCTCCGTCTCCTGCTGCTGCTGCTGCTGCTGCTTTTCTTCCTTTTGCTGCTGCTGCAGTTCTGCTGCTTCTGCTGCTGCTGCCGCCATGGTGTGCAGCGGCACGCAGGCAAACTGGCTTTCAACAGCACGAGGCCCGCACGCTGTTGACATTGCTGCTGCTGCTGCTGCTGCTGCTGCTGCTTGCTGCTGCTGCTGTTGCTGTTGCAGTTCACGCTGCCCGTGCTGCTGCTTCCGGTATAGCAGCAGCAGAAACAGCTCGTGGTGCAGGTGGCCTGGGGCTCTCCAGCAGCCGCATTCGCTGCGGTCTAGGGTTTAGGGTTTAGGGTTTAGGGTTTAGGGTTTGGCTCCTCGCAAGCCGCATTTTCTGACGTGTACAGACACCTGCTGTCGCGCGAAGTCACCTGGGGCTGCTTCACATCCTTTCAGCAGCAAACAAACTGCAGCAGCAGCAGCAGCAGCAGCAGCAGCGCGAGGTGCTTAGCTGGCTCATAAGTACCATTATCCAAGCACAGCAGCAGCTCCTGGATCGCGCTTCTAAGGCCTCTGCTGATGCTGAGAAGACAAGCCTGCTGCTGCTGCTGCTGCTGCTGCTGCTGCTGCTGCTGCTTGTGTCAGTGCCTACAACGGAGCTTCTGTTTATGCGGGGGGTGTTGCCTCGGTCTAGCTGATCATTGTGGTGTACATACACCTCAAAAAGCCAGATTCCATTAAATTATGTTTTTATTTTTCTTCTCTTTCCACCAAAACAGCTGAGGCTCTCCCTTGGACCAGTCCACCCTGGGGCTGCAGCCGCCGGCAGCCCCGGCGGGTCGATTTTGGCGCTGAAATGGACTAATTTGGGTTTCTTTCTGAATAATTTTGACAAAAAATGAATAAATAAATTATTTCTTTATGATTAGAAGGTAATTAGAAGAAGTTTAGTCCGCTTTTTAGCACGAAGTTCCACAGTGTGTTTATTACCACCCCACCGTCGCCTCCACATGGTCGTTTTGAGTGGGTGTCTTCTGCACTAGTTGCCGATTTCTTTCTCGTTTTTTTGTTTTAAAATCCATTAAATTAACCAAATCTAAATTAAAACAAAGGGAAACTCCAAAGATCAAGCGGATTTCCTAGTTGAAAGTCTCATGCTGCTGCTGCAGCATTGGCTCAGCAGCAAACACCGCTGGCTAAGCCCCAGGCAAATCCCGCCTTAATCAAAATTCCCTTCTTTTGCAACAGCAGCAGAGCCAATAAGACAGCCATTAGGCTCTTCCACGGCTCAAAAGGAGCATCGACTGCAGCAGCAGCAAGAGCAGCAGCGGCAGCAGCAGCAGCAGCACCAGCGGCAGCAGCAAGGTGACGGCTAGAGGGTATATTTATCCGTTACAGGACTAAGTCTGAGCCCAGTGAGCTCTCTTAAACTCCCGCCAATCTCTCCGAGACTCCTAAAGGATATTCAGGACTTTTCAGTATCCCTAAAGACCTCTAGAGGCCCCAGTAATTGATATTTAGGGGCCTTAAGGTCTTACTGCAGCATAGCCAAAGTTCTCCTTGCAGGCACTGATGCATGCAGCAGCAGCCGCAGGCAAAGCGGCGCGCTGGAGGCCCACGGCGACCAAACTGCATGCAGCCAAAGTACTGCATGCGCATGCAGCCACTGAGGAATTGACAGCAGCTAATAGTTGCTTTTGCTGCAGCAGCAAAAGCAGCTGGCTCTCTCGGCTGCAGTGCCAGAAGCTTCTGTTTCAGCAAAGCAATAGTTGAAACCCAAATGGCTAAACTGCGAATGATGAGTTTAAGCGTTTGCTGGCAGAGTCTGCAAAAACTGGGGCTCCCCAGTTGCAGTTTTGATTATAATGGCGATTCAAAGAACCTCCTGCTTGCTAAGCAGAAGCCGATGAAGCAAATGCCATCTGCTATCCACTGAGTCCCTTATTTGTTGTCAACAAAGTCTTAAGCAATTATAATGCCGAAGCTGCAAATTGCCACTCAGTGGCTCCTGCAGGCATTCTGTTTGGCTTGCTAGATGCTGACCAGCAAGTCTCGTGCGAGCGCAATTTCCCAGCCCAGTTTGGTTTTCTTAATTGGGAATTTCGAGAGTTTAAACATATTTTCACTGAAAGGGACATCTCTAGTTTGTGCTGAACCGCCGCAACCGCCACTTTCACCAAATGACTTGTCGATGGAGAGCCCCAGGAAATGCCTACGCACTTTCTTCTGAGAGCCACCAAAGGGGCTCTCAGGTAAAACCCAATAGTCTTTTATTTGCATTTATCTCGCAAGTCTAGATCTGGGCCTCAGGGCCAGGCTGGGAGGCGCAAACTGTCACACAACGTCTATCACAAAGTTTACTGATTGCCTGCCAGCAAGCAGGAAATTGCACATTCCCCCTATTTTAAAGTTGGTGGAAGTTTCTTTCTGTCTGCCGTTCCTAGCAGAGCTGCTGCTCGCTGCTGGCCCGCTGCTTATTCGCTGCCTCTGAATCGCGAGACCTTACAACTCTCAGCGAGAAGGTGAAACAATCTGGAGTGCCTTAGTGCACTCAGAGGCATAAAGTGCACACTCATGCTCTAAAGAAGCCGCCCTTTGAAACGCAAAAATTTGAAACAAAAAACACAAACATTCAATTCTTCGGAAATTGCATTTGTTATTCTTTATTCGTTCCCTCCAAACGTCGGCATTTGCACTGCGCGCCCGCTTCGCTGCAATGCGGCACCTGGGCTCCTAGCCTTGAAGCGCAACTGAAAGCACAGTGTACCTCTAGCCCGAGAATTTCTCCGCTCATTTATTTTCTATCTCCGTTGATCTAGTGGCTGCTTAGCTCACTATCTATGGAGGCCTAATGGCTATCTGAGTTTGCTGCAAGCTGAACAGCCACGCAAAGACCTTCCTCACAGCGCGCTGCCTGGCCAAAGGAAACCATGTGCGCTGTTAGGTTTGTCATCATTTGAACTGGAAAGAAGCCTCCAAATAGCTTGCGCTCCGCGCTCTCTGGCGCAGCCCTTTGTAGCGTGGCCAGTAGCTGGGCGCGCATAGCCCATTCTTCCAGCTGTATATTTTTTATACATTTAGAAGCTCAGGGCATTGCCCGGCTAAACAGAATAGCAGATCAGTGAAGGCTGAGCAGGCACAATTTGGCCCGACTTAGCGACAGGAGGAACGACCGAAATCTCCTGTATGTTAGGATGTTTGCTGCCCTCATTTAAAAATTATTGCACTCTTCTCGATGGAGATTTCAATACTGCGGAATATGCGCCGGAAGCGCCGCTAGCTAGACAAGTGCGTCTGAGACGCTCTCTATCACTCGCTATCAGCTCCTGCGATCGAACCGAAGTTTTGCGCTGTGTGCCGCAACAAAGTCGCTGCACTTTTGTGGTTTTTACACATTTTAGACAGCTAGTTGACCTAGTTCAGATTAGCAGCGCAGGAAGACTGCACGATTAACTGCCAACCATTAGCGGGTAGCGGGGCGGCGTCGTTGCTTGGGAGTCATAGACTTTCCGTTCAGACAAACGCACAAGCTGGATATTTGGACTCTTCCCCAGCAGGATGTGCTGGGAACGCCAGTGAAGACAAATATAAGGTCCGTGGGGTCGTCGGAGCGCTCCCTTCGCGCGGCTTAAGAAGTATATATTAGCCTATTATATAACATGGACAAACTCGACGTAACTACACGGCTCCCACCGCCTCTGTATCTCTCCCAATTCGTGAGTCTTTTCATATGTGTACCGGCCTATCACATAGCCTCCGTTAAGCCTTTCCAGGAGCATGCGCAGGCAAAGTCGGCCTTTTTGTGCACAAGCAACACCAATTCAGGCTGTTCTTCACTCATGGCTGCACATAAGGGCATCTGGCAGCCTTCCTGCCAAACAAAGAGATGGCGTTATGCCGTGCTCCTAACGAACGTTCCGTTAGCGCGAGTTCTTCCGTGCGCTCTCAAGGAATGGCACACTTTACGCGAACGTGCACCAACACCAGAGGCCACAATGTTCAGCTTTCCGAAAGAGTTTTGGAGCATTTGCAAAAAACGTTTTGCTCTTGGCTCCCTCCCTGTACACACGCAGAAGTGGGCATATGTGTCAAGTTTCTTACCAAGCACTGGCACGGTTTTAGAACAGGCCATCACGTTCTTCAACAGTGATAATCTTCCCCAGTGGGCACCCAGGAACACTTTAAATAAGCACAGGTCTCCGGAATGCACACCAGGATTAATTTAGACCACAGCACCTCACGGCGGATGCATCGGTAAAGTGTTTCATAAGACGGCTACCAATGAAGGTAGACGACCAATCCGTGCAACATTTCTTCATATTTTATCTAAGAGCCGAGACTGGTGTTCCCGCGCATTTTCTAGGGAAGCCCAGTTTTCTACAGCCTACTCCCAAAGCTATAATCGCACTGTATAGAGGCTAACAGGACAGTAGACCATTTGTCTTCTACGACAGAACGCATTCGAGAAAAAGCGCAGATGAGAAAAATGGAGCACAAAGAGAGTTGTGCCTCAGGCGCTCAGTTTTCTTGTCGCTTGCGAAAGGTCAAGCGGCCAACCAACCAAAGGGGGAAATATAAACAAGGCTCTGAAGCTAAATTTCGTCTTCCTTTTCCTTCCTTTGTCCCCTTGAAACGCGCAACGTCCGCACAAAAGTACGCTTATATCTTACTGCCATATAACACTACAAGTTGCAAATCCACTTTGGATTTGAACAAGAGAATTCTTCTAAGCACCGTACGTTTATGCCTCCCGCAGTTTGCATAAGCAACACTACACAAATCTTAAGAAGCCTGGGGGCATAGCGGAATGCTGATCGATTAGAGGGCACCGCAGCAGCAGAGACTACTGCCTTGCGGAAGTTGGCACAGCAGCAGCAACGTAGACCTCTGAAAATCGAGGCTATACGAATAAAACTGATGTGCTTAATCGCTCAGGCAGGTACGTTGACTGGCTCGAAGGTTCTCTAAGTTCAGTAATATTAGTTTATTTTGGCTTGTTAAGCACGGAGCACTTGGAAAACTCTTCAAAGCGTTCGCTCAAATCCGTCACCTCCAGTATGGAAAGGTACGCCAATATGTGAGCGTCTGGGGTGTAAAGTTACTCCCAAAGGCTGGCACACAAAGAAAGGTAATCCCGAATCGTCATGGGGAAAAGGCAGCAGGCAGCGGCGGAGAAATGT